TATGTTGTTAAACAAGTTCAAGAAGGTGTATTATGTTATAAAACTAAACAAAAGTAGTAGATTTTATTTTGTTTCATAATTTGTTATATCATTAACCTTAACAAGTATTTTGTTGATTTTGTACCCAAAGCTGATTGAAACAATGACTGATGATTGTATTTCGTTTGTAATAAATAAAGAGTTTAATTAATATATTGTTTTTTTGATTTTAAATAGTTATGATTCATAGTACCCCATTTGATCCAGTGTGACTCAAACTCTGATCCAATGTGACCCACTCGTGGGCCACAATGGATCATTTCAGTGTATGAGAAAAATAATCATTATAAAATAAACCAACCTATAAAAGAGACTTTTGACAAAAAAACGTTAAATATTAAACATGCATCCATATATTTAATTGAATACCTAAGTCAAAAAAGCAGAACTGTAACCGAAAATGACCTAAGAAAAAAAAGTGATCCATTGAGCCCCATGTTCCCCTATTTCTCGTATTATATAATTTTGTTTAAAACTTATGGCACCGACTTCTAACCTATCAATGGGTGTGTAAGCTGTAAGTATCTAGGTACGTATGACCAATAATAGTTATTTTTTTCTTTTTAGTTTTTACTTTTCGTTTGTCTTTAGTTTTGAAGTTGGTTTTTTTAAACGCAGTTTTTTAAATTTATCAATAATACACCCAGTATTGCTATAACTGGACTGTATTATTGAAAAGGATTTGAAAATTTAATTCAGTTCTCTCAAATTCAGGGGAAAATTAGACTCATAAATGGGGAAACTTGCTGATAAATTTTATACACGCCTCTACATTTAAAACATAACGTTACAGGTACAATACATATTACATAGCATTACATAGCATTTTTTTAAAGGGGGGAAAATCATCGAATGGCTGCTCCCGCCTGGGTGAGGTGGGAGGGAGTGTCAGACTCTTACTAAACTGACTAAAAACCACCCCGTTCCTCCTCCTGCAAGTCGAGCCGGAGCCCCGGTTGCCCGTTAGGATTCTAAAAACTTTACCTAAACTTCCTTGTCGCCCAATTTCAAGATATTGTGTAAATAAATAAAATTCCGAAACTTTGTTTAAGCGATTTTATTAGATGCTATTTGAATTCTATGCTATAAACAATATTGATATTTTAGTACTTACATTTAATTTTATTTAACATTTTTGTTATAGGTATATAAATTAGCTACAATACATAGAATCTTAAGGTAATCACAGCCATTAGGGTTAATCTACTCTAAAATACGGATAGATTTTATACAAATTTAATACTGACACGTGCATAAGCCCAGTAAAGAAATAGCTACATAGTCATCCACAACATTTACATCGAGACAAACGTAGACCTAGATAGGCTTATGCTGATTTATACAAAGTTACAAAAACTACAAGCACCTATAGACTATAACCTTTTTTCTTATTATTTACAGTTATGTTTAGGCGGCCTCCATTTCAAAGGTACGTACTTCGTAGGTACCTAAGTACATTTCTTTTGTGTAAATTCGTACTAAGTGTTCATCTTCTATTATATGACATGCAAGGCATGGACGCTAAAAGACTGTTAGTTGAACGGTGAATAATTTAAAATGACCACTTATTCAAAGTTTTTTCACTGTACAAAGACGTGTGAGACACGTCTTTTGTGCATCTTTTCTTAACCATTTTATCAAAGTATCTTAGTCCATAGTAGTAATAAACTGGCCATGTTCACTGGTTACTATTAAAATTTTCTCGCCAATGTCAGTCTGTAACAAGTTTCAGCCATAAGCTGGAGGTTGGCAGGTACAGGCATGACGTAGCGCCACTCGAAGCCAAGGCAGGAAACGTCCAACTCTAGCGTACACACCAGGATATCCGGGCCTGGCACACCCTCTACCCCACGACACAATACCTGAAGATACAAAGAAATAAATTAAGAAGATAGTTTGTGGTTGAGTGGCGCTGTAATCGTTTTGTGAACAACTACAACATAACATAACATGACGTCTTTTATCCCCAAAGGGGTAGGCAGAGGTGCACATTACGGCACTTAATGCTGCTATACAGTATAACACCCACGTTTTCACTATTTATGTTATGAGCCCCATGTAATAGGGGGTGAGCCTATTGCTATAATTATACCGGGGCACAATTTCAATCAAAAGAATTTTACTGAGATTATTTTAAAAACCCAGTAATGCTTTGCCCAAACCCGGGAATCGAACCCGAGATCCTTTGCCCAGCAGTCGCACTTGTGACCATTCGGCCAACGAGGCAGTCACACTGTGCACGAGTTGTGCACAATTATTACAACATTAATTCCTATCTCATTTAAACTGTCAAACACCAAGCGGTCACCGGTGACCGCAACCTATTGTTCTATAATTGTGTCTACAAAACCGGTACTCGACGAGTTAAAATACTCACCAACTAATGTGAAATAAGGTTGGGAGACCAATAATGGTCCACCAGAGTCGCCGGTGCACGCATCTCTGTCAGGGGCATTTGCACACAACATGCGCGGTGTCACCTTCCTGCGACCGTAACCTGCGCCTGAACACTCTTCTTGGGCCCAAATCTGCACGGCAGCCTAAACAGAGATCAGCTGTTACATGGACCATGCAAAGACTTTCGCAGTTATTGTTAATGTATTTCACAGCAAAAGGCTCATTAATATACAGAAAAAAAGAGTAATTTGCTAAGTGGTATACGTAAATAAAGAAAAGAATTTTACTTACAGAATTTGTAAATAAAATCTTGTTTGGTACCTATGTAAGCAAGCAACTATAACAGCGTCCCCTCCACCGACAATGAGCCATTTCAAATTATGTTGCGCACGCGACTAGAATATGACAGGATCTATTACTGCGGAAATAATTTCGTTTAATTGAATTCTTGACATAAGCTCAGTTCCATTACAATGCTTATGATCCTATCACATGCTGATCGCGCGCTTACTTCCTTACTTTCATCGGTACGTTGGAAGCTGGCCCCTTTTCAACAGTGCTGCCCCAACCTGTCACTATAGCTTCTTCGCCTTCAAGACCATCTATGTCTTCAGCATCTAAAATTTAAATAACGTTTTTATGAATGGCTTAAGAATCTTAAAACCTGCTTAAAAGGAAATTACCATATGGTTTCTTTTATAATTAAACATTCGTTACTAAACAAAGAAGCGTTAATTTTTTATTCATCGTTGAAAGCTCGGAATTTGTTTAGGTGCACTCTTCAAATATTCTGTGGATAATACAATACCCACATGATTTTGAAGGTCCTTTGGTACACATTCAATGTAAGTATTCAACCCTTGTCATAATATTATGATTAGTACAACTCCACGAAACACTTTCTGTGTTCCCGTGATGAACATGTCAGCGTTTCATTAAAGAGTTCCTAATTAAAATAAATGCCTTATTGAATATTTTAATAATGGCTATTTCGCTTAAAAAATATTGTGCCTTTAGAATGACTAAAAAAGAAATCAATTATTTTTTTTATAATAGCTAATGTCATCGAACTATTTTTTCTGCGATTTCATCCAGTTTTAATTATCTGAAAATAGGTTTTATGTTACACTAGAAAAAAATACTGGCACATTCTTTTGAAAATAATTACACAGATGTCATTTATAAGCTTAAGAAAAATACACCATTTTTTTTCGACTGAGTAAAGGTCATTCAATTATTTTTTCTTGTGTACCTAATTGACCAGGAATAGAACAACAAAAAAGGATAATTTATTAAATATTTTTTTTATAAAAATATGTACCTACCTATTTAAATCATCTCAATTAAAAAAAAAATAGTTCAAGTACGTTGAATTTGTAGTTGTAATAGAATTAGGTACATTGAACTTGTTCAATCTTACCGGGTAGACATGCAGGTCTGAACAGACTATCTGGTAACGGATCAGCTAGTCTTAGAACAGCAATGTCATAGTCATAGGTGTATCTGTTAAAATCAGGGTGCTGGACCACGTGGATCACCTCGTAGCCGTCAGATCTCGAGTTGTTCACATCATATTCACCAACGAGTACCGACAGTCGTGAAGCTTCAATCCTGGAAGTAAAAATGTACCGAAATGACATAATATTTTGATTTGGTACTTTATCTAAAGTCAAACTAAAGGGCAGTAAGATGATGGGTGAGATGATGATGAGAGAGCTAATTTACTTATAGTACAGCAGACACGGGAACAAAATTCATAATAAAATAAACTGTAAACCTGAAATGAGCAGTTATTAAATAAATATTTAATTTTTTTATTTATTTAGGTACGTATTATAATTAGGTACACCGTAATTATACCCAACGGAAATATTAATTTTACCGAAATAAGCGGCACTTAGTTCGACATTTATGACCGGTAAATAAACAACTGAATGTACGAAATTATCTGTGTTTGTAGTTTCACGGTTTATAATGTAAAATATTTAGCTGTATCTCATTAAAGCGGCGATTAAAATTCGGCACACATCGTTAAGTGATGTGAAACAATCGATTCGTGACACTACGTGGCTAGTGGAGAGGACAAAAGGATCGCGAGCGCATCCAACGCGACCTTAACCTCATTGGAGTGATGTAACTTTACGGCTGCATAACTGAATTGCCTTTGCCCACATTTTTACTAAAATATAAAATACATAAATTACGAAATGGTTTTATTTTTTTTTTTCAAATAAAATATCCGAACGAGTATAGAACCTTTTTAGTTGGGGTCTATCAAAGAATGATGGCGTTAATGTAGCTTTAATTTTTGGGTATTAAGTATCATTTATTTTACATTTCTTGTACAATATACAATGGTCGACTTAATGCCTAGTGGCATTCTCTAACAGTCAACCTGAAAAAAAAAAAATTTTCTTTAATTCCATATTTTATGGCGTTCAATGCTTTTTATCAAATCTTTTGTCTATCTTCGTCTCCACTGAAATTGATTCAGTGATTAATTGAACAATGAAAGTGTACCATTTGTACGTGGACTGAAGTATATATTTTCAATTAGGATAGAACCATGCAACCATGATAAAAAAATCACTAGGCTTAGGTTTACATAGATCATTCAACGTCAAGGTGAGACCGCGACATCGTCTAACATTGGCCTCCATCTCTATACTCTACCATCTATTTCAGGTCGTGGTCGCCAATAAATAATGCATTAAAGACATGATTGGTTGTCGTATACAATACAGTATACACAAATGCACAGGAATTAAATATATTGCATTTGATACTATCATATACCTAAGCTTAAAAAAATATATACGCACTTATTCGTTGAAAAACTTTGAAGATTTGGTACCTAGGATTCTGACCAAAACTGTGACTCACCATGTGGGATATCCTACGCAAGAAAAGAAAGAGCAACGTCTTTAACATCTAGACGTAGAATTTGGTGAAGACAATTTTTTGTATATTAGTCAAAAGCTTTTACAAAATTAATTATTTTAAGTCTCCATAACACCACTGAGCACTTTGTAAATAATGAAGATGTTTTTGTTTTTCTTTTAAGTGCCAAACAGGGTTATTTGTGCAGTACAAATAAATCTTGTAAGTTTACTAAAAATGCCTTTTACGTAACCTTACCGCCAAGAAAGTGTGTCGGAGTTTCGGAGATTTTAAAGGTCGTGTGAGTATTGTTTTGGGAACCTTAAGGGCACATGGTTGTTAACATTATGTAAAATATGTTGCACTTTTTATGGCCATGCCGCAAGATAACAACTTAAGTTTCTAAATTATACTTAATTGTAAGAGTAATAAATCTTTGAATCCTCCGGTCTGTGACTTCTTCTTCACGAGCGTTACATCAATTAATTGACATTGGATGGTCCATAAATACCTTACAAAAAGTTGGGTGATGTAAGAAGACAAGGTGTGAGTTTTTATGAGTGGCTCTTTTTTGTAAATGCTATGACAATGGATTTCAGATACATGATTTTTCGCACCGACAACTTTTACAGTTAACACCCACCCAATATTGTTGCAATTTTCGTAAGTTTACGATTGTCGAAAATCGAATAAGAAAGTAAGAAGTGGCACTGGCAATAAAATGCGTAAGTAACAAATTGACATAAATAAAATGCTTGTGCGGTTGCAACAGTATTTTATTAGCCCCTGTTAATGTAAGGAAAGCAGGAACGAATTGAGGGTCAAATGCGAAGTCATAAAACATATCCCACAAGGAGGCAATGCTCAGTATAATGCACACATGCACATTCCACACACGGACATGCATATTTGTCCTGTTATCAGATTTTAACAGTTACGATTGCATGGAATTAATTAAAACATCACTAAAACCAAACTCTGTAAAAGTTTTAACTAAATGCAATGCATTTCATATGTACCTAACTGTTTCTTTGAATTCAACAGACAGGACAAAAGGTTCCGTATTTGTCTGGCAACCAGAGGTTGCCAAAGAACTATGCGGTACTAGATAGTAAAGACATGGAAACCATGATAATATTTTTCTGATCTGTCAGACTAAGCGGAAAACGCTGAAATATTATTAATATTTGTCTGTAGACCATAATTATTTTTTAAAAGGTAAATTATTAATTATGTTTAAGAACCTACAAGGAATCCTAATCCTTACTCAGAGCTCGTCATAAAACGTGACGAACGGTGCTGGGCACTGAAACGAATTTATAAATAACCTCTTATTTCAATAAATAACGGACTTTCTTCCTTATTGTTCATGCGTGCACAACCAATTAGCTTTTATTTGCAAAAAAGTAAAATATGGCAAAATGACATCGTATAGGTATTTTACGTTGCAGATTCAGGAAGAAACAAGTTTGGTCCTAATTACGTTCCTTGCGGAACCCTCGGGACATTCCGTCGCCCATGTACCGGTTTCCAACAAAAATCGTTCTTGGTTAACAGTAGAACTTGCTATACCCCTTGCTTATTAGTAGCCAGATGCAGTTAACGTATGTAATCAGTACCTCCTCTTCAAAATTATCGGCTCACTTTAAAAGGATCGAAATCCAACACACGCGGCCTCTCATGTATGATGTGTATATTTCTTCCGCATCTTATTTTGGCTATCTAACTGGGACTAGCATTTAAGGCGAGAGGTCAAAATTCAACACTACAGTACCTACATTCCGTGGTTCATATCGAGATGGCACCAATTAAATTACTTTTTACGGTTAATGAAAGTGACTTTTTCTTTCGTATTAGTCACGTTTCACAGTTAGACCGAACAAAAGCTTTTGAGGTGCCGATGATAGTAGGTACATTAGATAGAAATGAAAAAATATAGGTGCGATGACAAGACAATATAATTCCTGGTACAAAATGATTAAGCTTGACTTTATAAACAGTTGTATGGAGCTGTTAAGCACCCACAACGACTTCCGACGGGTGACAGGTGTTCAAGTGTTCACACTTCTTTGTGCACAAATTCTTTGATGACATGATTTTCTGATACCTCCATCAAAGTCAATAATTCACTTTCACCAATTAGTACTCACCTACATAGACTATTGTTTGTAGATAGTCCAAAGCAACGGAACTATAAAACGATTATTATTATCATATAAGATATTCATGTCAATTGTATGACTAATAGTTAGATTTGCACATGTAAATTGATATTATAGAAAGGCATGTGTCAATAAATCATTTAGTGGGTCATCAACATCATCATCTCTCCCGAGGCAATAATGATTAGAGTTTTAGGTTGAACGTTTAAATATCTGAATGGGTCACCGCATGTACATGACATTTGACCTTGTTTTTGGTGTGGGCGAAATAGGAAAAAATCAACTTCATTGAATGGGTGTGATTATGCTAATAAAGTTTAAAAATGGAAACTCATTAAAGTTAACAGAATTGTGTTAAATAATAATTTAAATAAAGATGACTTTAAGAAACATCCTGTGATCCTGCAATATTTTCTACTTTCGATTTCTATATTTGAAATTGCTTTCTCACTTCCAAACATGGTGTGAACAAAACGGCATCACATCGAATTTTTAAATAAAATTTAGAGAGTGTAAAATTTACAAATACAGTGTTATTGTAACACCTTATACGCATTTGGCGTTGCGAGAGGTCAAGTTCTGATCGAGCTTCTGTTTAATAGTGACACGATCTCTTAATATCTACATAATAATATTGATCTTTAAAAGCTGTTGAGAAACAATATCTCTGTCGCAATTGATGTTAGTAAATAAAATCCACGCTTTGATAACTGACGTTGGCTAAGGTCAAAGCTTTTTATATTTTTATTTGTCTTCATCTTTTGTGGATATCGTTCTAATATTATTACATATTTTCGTGACTCTATTTAAAACTGTCTTACAGAGTGGAATGATCGTTTTTATAGTTTTAAAATCTGTCACAAAACCAAAACCCTCCTGATTTTTCTTTATTATTATTTTTAATTTTACCCCTCATCGCTCTTTAATCGCCAGTCCTATTTTTTTGAATTTGCCTCTACAGTCTTAGGACTAACAGATAGGCAGTTGCACATGTATCGGTAAGACGTCCTTCAACTAGCTTTGTTTTGTATGATAAGCCACGTATTACGTACATTTTGTTACGAGGTCAAAGTCATAGTTACTGACCAAGGTTACGGGATTCTACCTGATTGTTAGCAGTATGATATGAGTATCCATATCGACAACCCGTGGTAGGTACTACTGAAGTATCGGATGCATATGAAGAGGTTCACTTAAGTGTTTTTACTTTTAAACACGTAAACAATACTTCAATGTGAAGTGATTGTTGTGTTAGCATTGTGACTGCAGTTTTTTGGGCGACCACGAAAACCATTTTCATTGGAAATATGAATTGTGGTCTTGATAATCAAAATATATTTAAGTATATTCTGCTCTAAAGTGTGCCTATTTTGTACTTTTCAAAGTTTTGTTTATTTCAAAGATAACTTACCCATGAACGCAGTGAGTGGCAGTGATAAGATGATCTCTAGCAACTATGGTGGCTCCACAAATGACTTTCCCGTCTCTCTTCAGGGCAGCTAGCCAAGGGAACTCTCCAGGAGTCACTCTCTCACCACCCACGACACGAGCTCCTCTAGCTACACCACAAGCTGGAAACAACGAAAATATTGCAAGTAAATTGCATCCACTAGATCTTATATACTAAACACCATACTGTTAAATGAAGCTGAAGAGTTTATTTGTTTGAACGCAAGAATCTCATGAAGTACTGGCCCGATTTGAAAAAATGTTTTTTGTTGGGTCGTCCATTTGTTGAGGAAGCCTATCTATCTATATAAATAAAAATGAATTTCTGTTTGTTAGTCTAGTTAAAACTCGAGAACGGCTGAACCGATTTGGCTAATTTTTATCTTGAAATGTTTTTAGAAGTCCAGGGAAGGTTTCAAAGGATGAGAGAAATGAATTAGGCAGTGCGAAGGTGGTGGGTTAGTTAGTAATCTATAAAACTCAATGGGCACCGAGCAGAGCGGGTGATATCAAGCGGAGGTTTCGCTATCGCAAAATAAATCGGTTCAATAAATCAGACCAAAGGGAGGCAGTATCTTATGACTTGTTTAAAGATTGGAAATGAATCGTGTGAATTAATGAAAACAGGTTTCCTACCAATTGCCAATAAAAAGGATTAATAATAACGGTAACTGGAATTGATGGTGAGTAAATAGTAGGGAGCTTTTATTTTTAGTTGACGTATAGAGAGGTTCATTAAGAACCATCATCATGTTGAAAGTCCTTAATAGTGATGAAGATAGCCCTATCTTCTCGAGGTCTATGACCTTCTAGACATTACCATAATATCATGTTACCAACACCGTATAGGAATTTTGGTAATATGATCTTTTAGACGGTTTATAAATCAACGCCATGTTGTTGGAATTTACGTTCATTACGGAAAGTTATTTAATCAAAATGATAACGGGGTATTTTTGATGAATTACATAAACAGACTAAGATAGATTGCGGTTTTAGATTTTTTTTCCTGCCTAGGTTTTTTCCTATGAATTTGTCAAGCAGGTCAAGTCCTGACTTGAGGACAGGTCAAGCGGTAACTGATTACTAATATGAAGCAATTGTATTGGAGGCTGTGTGAGTATGCATCTACCAACAAATATCTCATTTGCCTAACTGATATTGACCTGATGGCATTTCTTGAATTCCATTTTTTCGATGGTTTCAGGTTTTACGTCCAAAATATCTGATTTCTTCCACCGGTAAAAGTTTGTGAATGTAAGCTTTGACTCTGACTTTGACTTCGTATATGGAACGTCTTGATCACCCTATTTTTTAAAGTGAATGTTAAAAGCTTTCCTTTTTTTTTCTTTTGCTTTTCCACTAGATTTATCATATTTAAATTTTCCTTAAAATGCACATTTTCACAATGACTGCAAGCTGATGCAATATCTTAGGAATTCAATATAAAAGTATTTTCACTTTGCATATAAACCGAAATATTTTCGTCCAATAGGAGAGAAGGTGACGACGACGTACAGACGAAGCTCATTAGCATACTAGAACGTAATGTTAGTAAACAAACATTCGCGCCAAATTGATCTCATTTATAAGCTGCACTAGAATTCATTGATACGAATATCGCATGAATTTTTACTACACGTGCATTTTTGTAATACAAGCATTTGCTATCTAACTAGGTCGTGAATTACGATCAAAGTGCGATAAAGATAAGCCCTTTTCCTCGCTGCATTTTGAACGGCACGGTATGCTCGCTTCGCGCGCTTTTTACACAAAGTCGCGGATGTAATTGTTGATCAGCAACAGACAATAAATTCGACATTTCGAAGACGTACTTTACACATCCGGGGCACTTAACATACTTGTGAAAATATCTCAGCGGTTTTATCTCTACACAAACATCGGTATACGCGAATAAGCATCGGCGGGCGGTAAGTAGCCGCTCTCTAGAAGCACTTCAAACTATTAGCACTTATTTTGTGACATAACCAAAACTGAAGTAATGTCTATTGAATAAGAGATTAGAAATTAAAATTTGTTTTAGAATATCCACTTGTCACAACAATATCCTACTTCTGAATGAAAATCGTAGTTACGAAACCACTTCATTGACTGATATAAAGTTGCGAATTTAAGTAGATAATTAATTTTACTCACCGAATAATTTATACGCAGATATTTTTTCAATGAATTGTATTTTATTAATTAGTGAAATTAAATAAAGTACGTATGTTTTTTATTACAGGAAAAGTATTTTTTGAACTGTAAATACACTTCACTTGACCACAAATGATGGTAGCTGCTGAAATAAAGGTTGCAGAAGTAAATAATAGAATGTCACTCACTGCAGGGCCTGCAGGCGGTGGCTGCGGCGACTGCCGCGAGGAAGCAGAGGACGCGAAACATGTCTGACGGAGTCACAGCCCACTCTATAGTCAGGGGGAGACGCCGGCCCAGCTATTATAGGCCGTGGGCGGCGCCTCCGATAAGGCCTCGGGGCCAGTGTGACAGACCAGATCAGGCCAAGTTCACGGCAACGCGACGACTGAGCGAGTGACGGTGGCGGCCGCGTCACCCCACTCGCGCCGTGCCCGCTCGGGGATTGTGGGAGGACCACCAGTGACCACCACATTAGATAATGACCTTGAAGCGATAGACATTATTGAGCAATTTGTTCAAGATTCTGTCATTGATTCTTTTAATCCGTTCTACTTTTAAACATATGCAAATATACGTTGCATTTTACTATAGCTTCGTATAGTTTGTGCAGATGGCGTTGACCTAGTTACCTGCCAATGGATGGAAAACACGTTCTAATTTTACCATTTAGTGAATCATTCTTGTAATTAGGGTTCTCCGTTAATTATTCCTATTAGTTTTAATAATCGAAAAAAATGTAACAGTTTCACATGTCGGACATCTTGTTCAATCGATCTTTTAAATTAACAAGTTAAGTTTATTGCAAATGAATGTAGTGGTGCGACTTGGTATTCATCATTCGATCGGCTCTTGCATGCACGGACGAGAGGCAAGCCCCCTTCTTAAAGATGCATAAATACAAAACAAAGCTTGCCATTCACGTGCGACAGACCGGCAGCGGAAAATCGTATTCCGTAATTAGTTACATCACGTTATTACTTGGTGGAGTCTTATTTTGTCATTAATTAATATAGGTATGCCCTTAAATGAGCGTGGGTCCCGTTGCATGCCTTATAAGTGTGCAGATAAATGAATGGGATCGCTTTCACGTTCAATTGGTTTAATTGATTGCTCCAAATTCTTGAATGTCTGGGTTATCATGATGCAGTGATGCGTCTTGGAATTAATTTTGCGCTTGACTATCGGTCTTAATTTATAGTCATAATGATTTGTTTATTTAGGTAGTAAAATACATCTAGGATCGTGTTCAGTAAAAGTGTTTTCTTTTAGTTTACGTATTCATCGAAATATAAATATTTATGTACTTGTGAACTTTGTGATCTTAGCTTATGTCGTTGCTTTTGCATTTGTAAGAAGTGCGTCTTAAAATAACCTGATATTTGAGCATTGTGTGTAGAAAGGATGTCGCGAAGTCGCCCGTGAGTAGGTCGCGTGTAGTGCGCATATTATAGTATCCTTGCAGAAAGTCGAGCTTGAATGTTACGCAACGTGCATTTAATTTCACCCGGTGCCGGATGGCTCGAGTGGTTCAATTTAATTCTTTTATATTTGGACAATGTTACTCAACTTTTTACGTAATGTCAGGATTAAAGCGTTGTATTTTGAACGTTTTGCAATTTTTGATATTTCGGAACAAACATTTATGCAGAGGTAGTACGAAGGCTCCGCGGCGCCCAGTGGCCGTCGGAGTAACATCGAGCCACCATTCTACTTTCTTGTTTACATTTTGCCGTGGAATAATACAGTAGGTAGATGATATTTTTGATTTATCATGTGCGTAATGCCAGCATGCGTAAATACCGTATGTAATAATTTATTGTCACATAGCACAATGCCGTAGCCTTAATAAAATATTAATAGGTACTTCACTTACAGGTAGATATGTGACAGATCTGGATTACAAAATCCACATACAATCAGAACTCAGAAGAACATAAACAGTTACAGTCGTAGAGACCTTGAAATACGAAATTTACTTAACATTGATACTTGAACCTCAAAACTGGCTCGAGTTATCTCTTCCTCGTTTTGCGAAATGTTTACCAAAGGGTTACCCACAGTTTGTCTAGACAAACATTGGTGACCTTGTGTTTTATTTTGAAGGTTAGTTTCATGGAAAGAGCCGCGTGGTGTGGAAGATGTGTGCAACGGTGCCAAGGCGACGGGCCACCCGTATACAGATAACGATGCACGCCTACCCATCGTACAATATCCAACTATTGTTATACAATTCATTTTCGATTCGATGACGTTTTTAATATTTTATATAATTTATATTAAACATTAACGATGAGAAGCAGAATTTTAATCGAGCGAGAGCTTCTTTAATTTAAAAATGGGAACTTAATTTATTGCTTTGAGCTAGAATGTTTTTCCTAATTAGGAAGTAAAAGTTCACTTTCAAATTATTTTTTAATCGAATGTAAAGAAAGGTATGTGCTATGGAGTTGATTACACCTCACACGTCGTGAATACAACTCATTACATGGATGGCAGTTCAGATGTAAGTAGGTACCGTTAATTAATTTAGACTTGTCCTATTCATTTAGTAGGTAAATGGAATGTCTTTTTCTTGCAATTTCGAGTTCTAGTGCTTTGTTTGAATAAATCACTGGAACTTCTAATCCCCAAAAGACCGGTAACGCACTTGTAACGCCTCTGGTGTTCCGGGTGTCCATGGGTGACGCCGATACTTAAAATCAGGTGATCCGTCTGCTCGTTTACCGGTTAATCCCATAAAAAAACTATTGTGGGAACATCCTTATTCCCAATGGGCAATTAATATAAATGTATCAACCTTCCATTAGACACCCATTGACTTAATTATGTTTTAAGTATTTGAACCGTTATTTATTTTTTTCATAACTATAATTTGGCAGTAAAATATTAGGTACCTACCTAACCTAACGTTTTTTCCTTAGTAGGAGTACCCACCTACCTATATATAAGCACCTACTTACTTAGGTAGGTCTCTGACTTTTCCCTGTACCTACCTAAAGTACCTAACGTTTCGTTAGATTTCTGATCACTTTAAGGTTCTCCAGCACTTTTTTTAAGTGTGAGTAAGCCATGTTTCGGCACGAATGGGCCGGCTCGACCGGAGTGATACCACGACCTCACAGAAAACCGACGTGAAGTAACACTTGCGTTGTGTTTCGTCGTGTGAGTGAGGTTACCGGAGGTCCAATTACCCCCATCCCCTTTCCCAATCTTCCCAATCCCTGAATCCCCAACAATCCTCAAACTCCTAATCCCCAAACGGCCAGTAACGCACTTGTAACGCCTCTGGTGTTCCAGGTGTCCATGGCCGACGCCGATTGCTTACCATCAGGTGATCCGTCTGCTCGTTTACCGGCTTATGCCATAAAAAAAAAACATTTACCTACCTCCTTATTCTGAAGGATAATTTGATTTTATTTATTTTCGATGACCTGTTCAAATAGCTCTTATAAAGCTCTAAACACAGACTTTGGAAAACGTTAATGAAATCTATTCTTTTGGGAGTTTTTATTGTTCTGGGTAGCTTTATCGACGATTTTCCCCTTATACTGATACTTGATGCTAATAAATGGCTTTATTTGGTATAAAGCATCAATTTCATACATTTTAGTAGAGTTCAATGTCGTCATGCATTCAAAGCTGTACCATATTAGTTTACTATTTCGCTTTCTATCTAGTTTTTTTAATGTGCATTCTTTTCTGTGTCAGTGTGTAATTGGCAAACTAAAATAAAGTGCATTGACTTGAATATTTTCATTGGAGCATTAGTCTTTTTGGCCTGGATCTTGATTTGCCTCTTTTGTAACATAATCACCGACGTTTTAATCAAATGTTAGTTAATATGATTATACTGTTGTGGTATAGTATTAAATAGGGTCATCCCTATTACACTAGATAATATTGTTTAACCTCTGACCCCCTCTGCGCCTTCTTCTGAGAGATCTGCAATGTTATGTTAGCTTGGACTAACAGTACCCTTGAGCATTATGAATAAATAATAATCTATAATAATATTGCCGTGTTTTTCCATGAGTCGTGTTTAGAATGACTTTCCATTGTGTAATCTTCGGTAAAAGGTGTCAAACAAATATTGCAGTAAAACACTTGGGTAATTATTTGTTGGTAGTGTGTCAGAGGATTTCAAAGGGTTAGTTTTCGTCAATTTTGTTTTATTTCATAAACAATGTAGAAAACAGTATTTTACTTGAAGATGACAAATAATAAATAATAATAATATAATAAATAAATTTTTATTTGGAACGGAATGCTTGCAAATGGAATGCTTGAAAAAGTTAACAGCTTCAGCGATGTCTGACACTGTGACACATCTCTACGACCAGAAGTTTCTATTAGAATGTGAATGTCCACTTAATTAAGTTCTATATCGTAAGTTTTATATCCATTTTAATTATACCCTCCTTATGTTCACTTGGTGGCACCGATGATCTTGATATATTATAAAACTTTCATAAAAGTAATATTGGCTTATGTTCTCCACTACTTTTATGCTTTTATGATATTAATAAAACATCACAATGTCGAAAGTTATTCACAGTTTATTTAGTGTAATGGCAACCATTAGTAATGCCAACTTTATTATTATCATATCGGTTCACGCCTCTGCACAATATTTGTGAAACGAAATGTAGTTGATGCACTGACATACTTGCTCCAACATTGGCCGGTATCGACCTGCATACACTTTGACCATGTAATAACCTACTTTTGGATTTTATTGTCACCTTTCTGAATTGCAACATTTTATCATCGATCACTAAATATAACAAAGATTCATGTACATAATATAGGTACCTACATAATATTCACTGTTTTAAAATGCTTATTTATAATTAATTACTAATGCACACCACATAGATATCCTTGCCTCTACTTTTCGATAGCGGTAAAATAAGGAGTTCCTCAGGGATCTATTTTGGAACCGTCGCATTTTTAGAAGTCACAATTAATGTGATTTATAGCCCTGAGGTGTTAAGGATGTTCACAACTAAGATAAGATAATAAGGATAATAAAAAATTATCAATACTTTTTTAATACTATCACTTCTACAAAGTTTGTGCAGACAAACCGGTTTCTGACGTAATATTTTTTACATCAACTGTAATACCGGTTTATAATTTAGTTAGATAAAAAAACGAAAACTAATATTATCGAATCTATGAATGAAAGTGTCATTTATTTTGAAACGTTAAAGTGAACAGTTAAGCCGCAATACTTAATTTACTTTTGACCAAAACACCGCACTTGGACGTCATACTAGCATTTGTAATGAGATAAATGATCATGATTCCCGTTGCAAGACATGTTTTTCGAGATTTTTTTTGCAAAACATCGGAATCTTGTTGGAACAAGTATTGAATTTATTGTTGCTGTTTCGATACTGCCTGTTTGGCCTAGTTACAATGTTCTTATGTGCTGTACGGCGCCTGCGCACCGGGTAGAAAGGTAAAAACCTCTTAAATGTCCCCTGAACACGCAGATACCGCACCATACCAGTAAAGATCTTAAGTAAGCACTAAGTAGGCTGCTCTTTTACTAAAATTGCTTGTAATTTAAATTTTATCTGTTAAATCTCAAACAAA